GGTGCAGTGGCTGGAAGACAGGGACACGGACCCGCAGGTCAGGGGATGCTGGGGAGACAGGAGCAGAGGCCTGGCGAGTCCAGAGCAGGGTGAGCAGGGCGGGGCCTGGCGGGTGTGGACGTCTGGGATGCTGGCTTGACAGAGTGCACTCAGGTGTGGGTCTCCAGTCCTACAGCAGACGCCAGGAAACGGCGCCGCGTTCCCACAGCCGGCCACTAGGTGGCAGGCAAGAGAAGAAGGGTCCTCAGCCCCAGGCAAGCGCAGGGGAGAGCCAGGCCTGAGGGCGGTGCGCTCCCTAAAGACAACGGGCTTCCCCGCTGGGGGCCCGGCACAGGGCAGCGGGTAGGCAGGCTGCTCACTGCGCGACAGCCCGGGCGACGGCACCTAGGGTTCCCACCTCGCAGGTATTCTTACCTCGGGAATGTTTCTGTGGTACTGAGGACTGAACCCTGGGCTCTTGCATCCAGGCCTTTTTTATACTTTCAGACAGGGTCTCACCATGTGGCTAAGCCTTGGTTGGGTTTGAACTTGGGATCCTCCTGCCTAGCCCTCTACTGCCAGGATTGCAGGTGTGTGCCACCGTTCCCAGCTTTGGCAAATTTTAGAAAGTAAACTCACTGCCTCAGTGACAAGGCCTTGCTGCAGCACAGCCTTCGCAGTGCCACGTGAACACTGCTCGTGTGTCACCAACACCGTCCTTGAGCCCAGCGCTGGGGGGGCGGGGGAGGGACATCCTCTCCACGTGCCTCAGCCATGAGATGCCGGTGTCAGCTCTGGCCGGAAGGAAGGGAGAGGATGGGCCTAATCGGAGGGCTGACTTCACCCTTCCCAGAACAGCGGGGCTTTTCCCAGCTTTTCCTGCAGCTGGCTGCGGCCATGTGGCTCAGTTCTGTACAACTGGACATGAGCAGAGTGAGGCTTGCCACTTTCAGGGTGTGCCCTTCTCCCTTGGCTGGAATGTGGATGTGATGGCGGGAGCAAGAACAGCCACATTGGACCACAAGATAGGAAACCTGTACTGAGGATAATAAAGCAACGAGGAAGAAGCTAATGGGATCCCTCCATGGCTGTCCTAGGCTGCTTACACAGACTGCCAGGCAACAGACAGAGGTCATCTTCTGTCTTCTCATGTTGGCCTTGTTTCAGGGGCTAAGCATGCAGCCCAGGGAATATACAGACACTGCTTTGGAGTGGTTGGCCAGACAGAGGTCTAAATGAGAAAGTCTCAGCCATGGGGAAAAGCCAGACAAAGAGCACTCTGGGGAGAGAACAGAGAGTGCAGAACGGGAGAAGGGAGACTGTGAGGTATGGTAACAGTACCTCGAGAGGGGACAGTGGCTTTAACCGGAGGCAGCAGTGCGATATCGCAGAGGGTCAACCAGAAGGAAGACCCCACTGTCCCTAGGGAAACTCCAGCTCCCACTTTGTCTGCCAGGCAGGCATGGCTGGCTCTGCCCCCTCACAACCAGAGAAGTGCCTGTGACCTAAGCCTGCCCAATCAGGGCACACCATTGCCCTGGCCAATGACAATCTGCCCTGAGCCTTTGGCTTTCATCCTCAGGAGACAGATACTATGTTCCAGCTGAGAAGTCAGTCAGACACACACCACTTTAGTCCCCTAACTGGGGACCCACCTGAGAGTAAAGCCAACACACAAAGAACCCATTTGAGCCCCAGGATTCAGCCACACCTGACACCAATCCTACCCCTTGGCCTTTTCAGTTATAAAGTCCCAGAAATTCCCATTTCTCTACAAGCTTCCAGCTTCCCAGGCTATGGAGTCACCAGGCATGGGTGGCACTTCTGGCTCTACGACGTGCTTGCTGGGTGACCTTAGGTGAATCACTGCCCTGCCTGAGTGTCATGGAAATGATAACACCTACCTAGCAAGGTCACTGTGAGGCTCAAACAAAACCTGCTAAGTCAGTTATCTACACCAGCAACACATGCTCAGGGTAATTGCTGTTTTTCTTACCAGGGGAGGAGCCTGGGGAAAAGAAGGGTCCATTCCTGGGTCCAGATGCCAAGGGGTGAAGAGAAAAGGAGGACGTTGGCTGCTCTCCTGGCCCTGTACCAAGTAGGACCAGCCAATAAGCAGGGAGTGGTGGCACACATCTATAATCCCAGCACTGGGGAGGCTGAGACAGGAGGAGGAGGGCCACTTCCACAGACCTCCTCTTTTGACCTGTCAATTGGATCTTTCCCTATGAATGGGTTGTTATCTTTCTTTGGGTGGGCCATGCTCTTCCTTTAAATGAAGACTCAAGAGAAACTTCCCATAGACTCACAAATTCTATTGCTTTCCACCCTCACAAGAGAAATATGAATGTTCCCAGCTCCAGAAAATACTGTAATGCACCTTTCTCTTGAGGACCAGCACTTCCATTTCTATTTCTTTTAAATTTCTGCCTCTTAAATCCCTTTATCCCTCTTTAAAAAATATAAGGAGCTTGGCGTGGTGGTACACACCTGTAATTCCAGCACTCGGGAGGCTGAAGCAGGAAGATTGCTGTAAATTCAAGGCCAACCTGAACCACATAGTGAGACCCTGTCTCAAAAAGATCAACAACAACAATGCACACTTCCTATGAGCGGGATCAGTGTGAGGTCCTTTTCACCTGGTGACACACTTGACACTGTCCAGCCTCTAAAACGGAGGGACTGACTTGTCCCCAGAACAGATGAGGGATGGGGAGGCACACAAAGAGCAGGACCCGGCCTTCTCTGCCCGGAATTCTGTTAGACAGTAGGCCCAGGACGATCCACACTCCCCTCTCCAGGCTGGTGTTCTGGGCTTTTCCCTCTGTGATCGTCTGGTCTTGGGGACAGATGCCCCAGCAGTGACAGAAAAGGGTTGGTAGGTCAGGAGAAAAGGGAAGGAAGCTGGGAGAGGAAGGAGTGGGGCCACATGGGAGGGGACATTCCCAGGGGAGGAGCTAGGGACACAGTCCCCTGGAGCAACAGCGAGCCTCCAAAGTGATCAGAGGCTCTTCCCACCACCGGAGGGGGCCTGTCCTGCACTCTAACATTTCGGGGACCACTTTCCTGCCCACCCTTGCACTGCAGACCCCCCCAGTGAGGGTCATCCCCTCTCTGTGCTCCAGCTTTCCCAAGTGCCACCTGCGCAGCGAGACTGACCCCAGAGCAGCGAGGTGGAAGGAAGCGATGCCCAGTAGTGTAGTGTCGTCCCCAACTCTTCCCGCGGCTCAGCTCAGGTTCCTAGAGCTTTCAAACCCTGCACCCAAACCACCCTTATCCTCCAGGCTTGGGGACAGGAAAGGCGGTCACTGTCCTAGAGAGGCCACCTGGACACCCCAGGCAGGAGCTGCCAGGAGGAAGGTGAGGCCCAGTGAGACAGGACAGGCCCCGCCAGCTGCTCTGCGACCCTCAACCTGTCCCCTGCTCTGCTTGGGCTCCTCATCCAGGCCCAGCTCTTATCACTGCTGCTGCAGCCTCCTTAGGGACACCTTGCCCGGCCCACCTGTGTCTCCAGCACGCCCTGGTGCCCTGGCGTGCGGAGGTGTTCACCATCTGTCGCCAGCGTCTCTGGACGCGCCTCGTGACCCAGTTCCTTAGCACAGCGCTAGCAAAGTCTGCTCAGTGCAGGGGACTAGGGCACAGGTGGACAAGTGACAGGCGGACAGGGCACAATGATCTCCGCTTGCACAGGGGCCCTCTGGGCAGCAGCAGGACCCCGGGGACCCAAGGACCAGGGTTGGGCTCAGCCGCGGCCTGCGGACAGCGCTGGTCCAGGCGGGCGGGCAGGGCCACCACTGTCGCTCAGGAGACCCCAGGCCCTTCCTGCACATGCCCCTGTCACGGCCCAGGCCACTGTCCCCTCCTCAGCCCTCCCTGTCCCCGAGCCCCGGGGACGCTCGTCACCCTGCCCTCTTCCCGGGAGTCCCCGGGGCCCTGGGAAGAGTCCCCAAGGCTGCCCCGCGTGGAAGTGGGAAGGGACACGCGTGGGAAAGGCGCGGGAAGGCGATGGGGCGGCCCGCCACGGCGGGCCCAGGGCGAGGACTGCCTCCTCCTTACTTGGGAGCCCGGCGCTCTCAGCCCGGCCCCCGGAAGGACCCGGGCCGCGGGACGGCGCAGGCCGCTAGGCTCAGCCTCCGGCCAGGTCAACAGCGGGGCCGGGGAGCGTCGCGAAAGAGGCTCGGGGGCCGGCTCGCGGAAACAGGAGGAGATGGGTCGGCGAGATGTGGTCAGCACACAGGGCCCGCAGGCCTCGAGGACACCGTACAGCTGTCCTTCCCAGCAGCGGCGACCCGGCAGGCTGCACCGTCTTTTCGGTCCAGCCAAAACTGGAAAAACAGCCACAGTCCCTGCTTGCAGCGTTCAATCCCGTCCCCCAACCCGCGGTAACCTATAGGAATGGGCCTCCGCGGAAAAGCGAGGAAAAGGCCAATCAGAACCCCAAGAGGCGGGGCCGCCCGCTCAACTCTTAAAGAGACGACGTAGCAGGGACGCGGAGCCTCCCGTTTACTTACCCAGAAAGTGGCCTGGGTCGCGGCCCCGCTCGAGGAGGGCGCCCTGGCTCCGCCTCGGTACCTTCCAGCCTCTGGAAGCTGTCAGCAGCCGCGATCGCGGCCGCCGGCGCTCCGCCTCCAGCCGGGACTTCGGCTTTGGCGGGCCGTCCGGGACGGGGTCTCCGGGGACTGCCCTCACGTGCTGGCTCCGCAACCTCGGGTCACCTGGACGGGGGTGGTTGGTCCCCCCTCCCCACGCCTTGCCCGGCTTCCGGAACCGCTTTGATGGGGCACTGCAGGATGACCAACACTTGTCCCAGCCCTGCGCCAGAAACAGCATTTTACAAGGAGGAACCCGAGGCTCCGAGGGGTTTAACCCGCCGAAAGCCACACAGCTAGGAAGTGACCCAGCCGCCCCTCCCCCGTCTGTGACTGCAGGTTCTTCGGCCCCCTCCTCCAAAAAGCATTCCCGGATTGGCCCTGTCTCTGCGTCCTGGCTCTGCCCTCCTCCTCATCCACCAGCTCGGTAACCCTTTCTGTTCCTGGGTCTCGCAGTGTGTGGGTCCTTGTCACACCCGCTCCGAGCGAACCTCCCGACACCCTCGCTGGAGCCGCCGGACAGCCTCCCTGACAGGACCCTCCCAGGCACCTGCCCCTTCTCGGGGCAGCCCCACGTCAGTGTCACCCCCGGCCGGTTCTGTACCTGGCGCGGAGCGCAGGTGCCCGGCTATGAAGTCACCCAAGGCAGGCGCCCCGAGTGGTACGGGGGGGCTGGCGGGAGAGCGGGAGAGCCCCCTCTTCTATCTCAGCTCCAAGGTTTGGGGCTTTGAAAGGAGACCGGAGTGACCAGCAGGACATGGCACTCCCCCGGGACTCCCCGGGCTGGAGTTCTTCTGGGGTGCTGAGCCTGTGCTACTTCCGCGTTTGCCAGAGAAGCACCACCTGCTTCTGAGGTCACTGATGACCAAGCCCCAGGGGGCCACAGGGCCAGCACAGACCTGAGCTTCAGCCAGCAAATCCACGCCCGCCCCACCCTCCTGTACCGAGCAAAACACAAGTCCTAAACGGCTTCTAGCCCGCGGGGCTGGGGGCGGAGACCACCCCCCACCGGGTGGCAGGAAGGAGAGCGCCTGTGACCAGGCCTAAGGACCACCTTTCTTCTTGTGCATTTTAAGAGTACAGGCTTCTGAGCTGGGTGTGGTGACTTGGGCCTCTAATCTCAGCACTCTGGAGGCTGAGGCAGGAGGCCCACTCCGTGAGTTGAGACTAGCCTGAGCTACATAGTGAGTTCAAGGCAGCCTCAACTACATAAGGAGACACCCCCACACACACACACACCAGTACAGGCTTCAGGTTAGGAGGGGGTCTGAGGGCAGAGGCTTTGTGGCATCCATGAAGTTCAATAAATGATAGTTTTAAAAAGATCTGACTTTGGAGTCCTGTTCCCAGCGACACTAAGCTCGAGGGTGGCACCCTTTCCACGTTGGCCTCCCCTGGGTGGCAGAGGGGACGATAGCTGTCCCAAATGCTAGAGGTCCTGTGGAAGCCGGGTGGGTTCACTCTCTGTAGGATCATCAGTCACAGAAGGGGCCAGGAAGGCTGTGTCACAGGAATGGACACATTCAGGAGTTGGTAGGAGTCCCACGCCAGTTCCTTGGTCTTCGGGGTGAGAATTGTCATAGTGGTCAAAGTCAAGTGAAAGCCTCTGAAACACCAACATCATTACTCACCGCCCCAGCGAAGATAGTAAAAAACAGTACCTCAGATGGCTATTTGGGAGGCTGGGGCAGGAGGACTGCAAGGTCAAGGTCAACATGGGCAATTTAGCCAGACATGTCTCAAATAAAAAGGGGTGAGGATGTCGCTCAGTGGGAAAGCACTTGCCTAGCATGTATTGAGGCCCTGGGTTTAACCCCCAGTACCACAAAATTTTAAAATTTAAAAATCACAGACCAAGGAAAATGGCAGAGATGAATGCCATCCTTAAAAACCGAAGTCATTTGGGGTTGAGAGTTGGACCTTCATTTAATTGTATCCCTATTTATTTACTTTATATAAGTCTTGGTTTTTTGAGACAGGGTCTGGATAGGTAGTTCAGCTGGCCTCAAAGTCACTATGTAGCCCAGGCTGGCCTCGAACTCACAGTGATCCTCCTGCCTCAGCCTCCCAAATGCTGGGATTAGAGGTATGTGCCTCATGGCACTGATTTACTGTATCAGTCAGGCCAGGTGAACCAGGAGTGACAAGAAAGTGAAGACTTTGCTTTCAGTGAGCTAAATGCACTCCAGAGGGCAGCGCTAAACCCCACGTACAGCTCTGGGTTTGCCACATCGATGGTGCTCAAGGGGCCTAGCAGTCTGGGGCATCCGAGGTCAACTTCTGCAGAGGAAAGGACATATTCTGTCACCCAAAAGGAAGCACAGTATTTGCGGGCTGCTTTGGGATCTAGAGGCAGCACTTTCCACACCTGTACAGGCTGCTGTGACCTGAAGGGCTCTGGGTAACAAAGGCTTCCAGCTTGAAAGTCCAGCCCACAGCAGGAAAGGGCTGTCCCCATGCCCACAGGCCCCACGAGCCCCACAGACCCACGGTGTGGCAGGGAAAATGCTGTGTGGCATTTATGACAGGCCCTGGTAGAAAAACCACAATAACACAATGTAGACCCCAGGCTCTGGACCAAGGCGAGGCGACTGCAGCAGAGAACCATACACAGTTCAGAAAGCAGCCTGCAATGCCACTGGACCCTGGCAGAGGTGACCAAGGGACAGCAAGTGACCATGAGACCAGAGCTGCTTCTCGTGGACTGGGTTCTACTGGGCCCATTCAATTGTAAACCACAGTGATTTTTCATGAAGTAGCCACAGGGTGGCCAGGCGTGGTGGTGCACAACTGTAATGCCAGCATTCGGGAGGCTGAGGTGAGAGAATCGCCACAAGTTCAAGGCCAGCCTGGGTTAGTGAGACCCTGCCTCAAGAAATAATTTAAAATGAAAAGAAAAGAGAACAGAGTGATGTAAGTGACCCAGAGTGTGCGAAGGGGGAGATTCTCCAACCACCCCCAAGCCATTCACAGCTGGGCCCACACACCCTCCGAGTTCCAGATGTGAACAAGTGAAGGCCTCCTGGACCTCGCCGATCATCTAGAAACCAACTCATCCTGTCCCCCAAACTCCTCTGCATCCCCATCTCAGAGGTGGTGCCACCATCCACCTACCCAAGCCTGGTGTTTGGGGTACCTCTCTTTTACTGTCCCCAAGCATCAGGGCCTATGGATTTCACCTCTTTTTTGGGGGGGGGTATCAGGGATCGAACTTGGGACCTTGCACTTTTGAGGCAGGTGCCAGAACCACTGAGCTAAATCCCCAGCCCATGGATTCCACCTCTTGAACACCTCTTGGACAGGCATCCTGGCCTGTCTGAGCAGCCTCTAACAGCTCAGACCACCTCCCCAGGGGGAAGCTGGAGGCTTTAAGAGCTGCGCTGTCCAGAGCTCCTCCCCAGAATGCGTCCAGACCTCTTGTGATCCAACCTCTCCAATGCCAGTATCACTGGCCCTGGCATCGAAAGCTCTTTGCCAGAACTATGGAATGGTTCCCACACCCTCACCGGGTCCTCTGCTCCCTGCAGCTCTGCACACTTTTTTTTGGGTTTTTTTGCTTGTTTTTCGGTACTGAGTATTGAACCCAGGGCCTTTGCATTCAGCTACATCCCCAGCCCTTCTAGCTTTTTATTCCAGGGAGGGCTTGAACTTGGGACCCTCCTGCCTCAGCTCTTTTTTGTGGAACATCCTCAGTGAGGGCGACTCCCACTTGGACCTCAGTCGTGACTTCTGGGAAAATCCAGACAGCTTGGGTGCTTAGAGATTTTGGAGAAGTTGAGACTGCCCATAAAGCAGGAAGAAGTGCTCAGAAAGCCAGGCTCTGGGGCTCGGTTGCCTGGTCTGTCAGATGGCCATGCCTTGGCTAAGGTCACGCAGTGAGGCGGTGGTCTGTCCTAGCTGCCCGC